CTTCCCCACCGGGAGGGGTTAAATTGTTAATTAATTAATTAATTATCATAACCATCATCAAGGAGACGCTAATAAGGAACATTGATCTGTTGTGGGCTATAGTTGTTAATCATATTAATTAGTGATTAGCAACTAATTAATCCTTTTTTTTGTAAATTATATATGCGATTTCGTATGTAAGATTTCCGTTTGATGGGGGAATTACTTGTCACGCTCTTTCTCACGCGATTCCTCAAAAATCCAACCTTTTTTTTTTTCTTAATGGCGAGAAATTAGATATGCAAACTCCATTATTCGGTCGGCGTCTTAGACAAAAGCCTAACTCAAAAAAAGCTGTCATGAACGAATCTAAGCCGACAACTGACTAAAATATTTGAAACTCACAACTTCCATGTGAAACCCAACAAACTCACAACCCTATCCCAGCCAAAAAAAAAAAAAAAAAAAAACTCCCAACCCTAATCACAGGCTCTCTATACTCAATTTTACCATAATGCACAAGTATATTATATATATACACATATATATATATATCAAACAAGTGAATAGAATGTATCAGAAGAGCAATAATTCTGAAGAATTGGGGAATATATCATTGCATATACATTGCATGCATGCATATATATATATATATAAGGCTGATTTAAAACGTTTTATTTTTTTATCTCTCTTCAACATTTATTTTTCCAAACTAACTAGCTTCAGTTCCAGTTCCTTTTGAAGGGCCATTGTCATATGCTCAAATACACACACACACACACACACACATATATATATATATATATACCACTCAATTTCTGTACATTAGCTCTGGGATTTTCCGACAGCCCTAAATAACGGTCGGAAAATCTGCTATTTTCTGATAAAAATTCTGTTCCCGTTGCCATCTAAATCAACTCTCTTGAATTGTTGCGATCAGTTCTTGATGATGATCGAGGTGCAAGACCCAATATACATAGTCGGAAGATCCTGGAACCTCGGACTATATCTCCCAAGAACTCGACAGAAAAAGACAAGAAAACGGATCTTATATAGATTCATGAACAAAAAAAAAACTTGATTGAATTCTTTCTATTGGATTTAATTAGACTACGTACAAAAAAAACTTGATATACCTATTTCTAGAAATATTTAGTACATTATATTATAAATAACATAAATTGTATTTTTAAATAAAAAAACATAAATTGTATTTCTAAAAATTAAATTGGGAAGAGCTTTATAATAGTAGAATAAATCACGTGGAGCAGGGGAGACATGCGTGACGGGTAAGAAACTCAAAAAACGACACACAGTTTAAGGCGTAAACCTCCCTTACTCCTCCTCAAGTGAAACCTAATCCCCCTCACGCTCCTTTTATGGCGCGTGTGTCTAATGACGAAAATCTTAATTTGTCAGCATTAAATTTATGATGGCCACGATGACGGATATTCTTATATTACTAATCAATTTTTCGGATTTTCGAAAGATTTTGATATGGAAATAATATATTGGAAATTTGTAAAATAAAACTCTAAAAATAACATCATTTACTAAAAAAATTTAATATCCCAAATCTATCATATAGTTTGATGAAATATACGTAATTTATATTGATCATTATCCAAGTGATATAATAAAATATAAATTATTTTCTAATGTGAATACGGTTTCCTTATTTTTTTTAAATGATATCCTATCCATACTTACTCAAACTAGGATTCGGGAGCTTAAATAATTACTAGATTAGAAAATGCTAATTAAGGTTACTATGTTACTATATGGGCAATATATTTTACTGTTTTTATTTGTTTATTATAATTTGCAACAAATCAACATAATTATAAATTTTAATTTTAAAATGATTTTTTCCAACCTCTAATTTAAAGCTCGATGCTGGAGCGTGAGCCACGCGCTGCAGTCGGAGAAGGAAACAGCGTCCGTCTTAAAACCCCGTCGTTTCCCGTGTTCCACACCGTTGGACCATTTTCTCTGCATTTTCCTGGAAATTTTCCCTCTTCTCCACGATTGCGAACCCTAACCCTAGCTTGTTACGATGATCGATTCGGTTGTGGAGGTGCCTCCTCCGGCGATCGATCCCGACCCTAACTGCTCTTCCGAGTTTGACTCAGTCGCAATCCCTCCGTTCGATCATCTATTCCTCACCGGCTCCGATCAGGAACCTGTTGGAAATCTGACTTCTGATCTATGGATTTCTCTTGATGGCGACGAAGAATTCGACCTCACTCTTGACGGCATTGACGATCTCTACTTTCCGGCTGAAAACGAGACGTTTTTCATCCCTGCTACTGCCGCTACAGACCGAGAGCATTTCGGAGATTTTACGCCGGAGTCCGAGGGTTCTGGGATTTCTGGAGATTGTATTCCGGGCGACGAAGATAAGAACGCGAATTACTTGTCATCTTCGTCAGGCTGCTCCGATCGAGAATCACACAGGGATTCCGGCGATCGGTGCTCCGGTGAAGAGAGGAGTTTGAATCCTCCGTCGCCGATTTCGTCTCAGGGGTCGGGTAATTGCGGGTCCGGTGTTTCGGTGACCATGAACGCGCTCTCTCCTGAATCAGAAACCTTGATGGTGGAGCAGAAGGTTAAGGTGGAGGAAGGAGGTACCGCGCCCATTACCAAAAGGAAGAAAGAGAGCGAAGAGGATACGAGTGGAGACTCCAGGACAAGTAAGTGCAGGAGATCGGGTGATAATGCCTCTGCCAGTGATGTGACCACCGAAGAAGATGAGAAGAGGAACGTCAGGTTGATGAGAAACCGTGAAAGCGCTCAGCTTTCGAGGCAGAGGAAGAAACATTACGTCGAGGAGCTGGAAGAAAAGGTTAGGACTATGCATTCTACTATTGCGGATTTGAATAGTAAGATATCTTACTTCATGGCTGAGAATGCGACATTGAGGCAATTGGGTGCCGGTACGGGAATATGTCCGCCGCAGCATCATCCGTTGTCTCCGCCGGGAATGTATCCTCCCATGGCTCCGATGCATCACCCATGGATGCCCTGTCCGCCGTATATGGTCAAGCCGCAAGGGTCACAAATGCCTTTGATTCCCATCCCTAGGTTGAAACCGCAGCAACCTGTATCAGTGTCTAAGTCTAAGAAGTCGGAGAGTAAGAAAAGTGAGCCTAAAACCAAGAAGGTTGCTAGTATTAGTTTTTTGGGTCTTTTGTTGTGTCTCTTTTTATTTGGTGCATTAGCTCCCATTGTGAACATTAACTATGGAGGGATTAGCGGAGCCCTATATGGGGAGTATAGGTCTGACTACATTACTAACCAGGTTCTTGATCAACATAAAGGAAGAGTTCTGGATGTCAATGGCCGTCTGAGTAGATCTGGCGATGTCGATGGTAGTGGTACGGAGTTCTCTAATAGCAATGGGGCAAAATGCAGGATAGATACTGATGGAAGGGCCGGAAAAAGCATGTCTGTGACTGACCACGTCATGCCTGCAGGAAATGATAGTGAACCGTTAGTTGCATCACTGTTTGTTCCAAGGAATGATAAGCTTGTGAAGATTGATGGCAACTTGATTATTCATTCTATCGTGGCAAGTGAGAAAGCCATTGCTACGCGAAAGGCTTCTGAAACAAACAATGAGAGGAAAACCGTTTTGTCAATTCCGGAAGATTTTTCTCCTGCGCTGCCTAGACCTGATGTGGGAAGGAATGGGGAGTTGGCCAGGGCCAAGGATTTATACAGGACTAACAGTGAAAAGCAGAAAGCTCTCTCTTCTGGTCCTGCTGATAATCTAAAAGACCATTTCAAGACAACAGCAGCCAATGGTAAAATGCAGCAATGGTTCCGTGAAGGTCTTGCAGGTAGTAATGGGTTTCTAATGTTATTTGTTTAGTTACTGATTTTGGATGGGTTAGCAATTCACCCATCTTTGGTCTTCAAAAAGAATGCCGATGATGAGATTAAGTTTTACCTACAAATTACAATTTGGTGCTTTGGTTAGCAGAACTTTGCAACACATATATCAGGTAGATACCAAATACCGACATAAACATCAGAGCTAAGCTAGTTGTACTTGTCGATCCAAGAGAGTAGTTTTATCTTAAGCCAGAACAGTGAATTGTGTGCGCCTCTCGATAATATGCATTTTCTGGTAATCTGGAAATCTATGGGGTTAGCAAGTGGTGGTTTTGACTCGATTTCCTGCTCATAAATCTCTTTCACGAATCTGTTGTAGGGCCAATGTTAAGTTCTGGGATGTGCACTGAAGTGTTTCAGTTCGATGTCTCCTCAACCTCGGGAGCCCTCATTCC